GGCGAAGGTCACACAGTCAACCACGGCGAGTGAACACTTGACGAGATTCAGTCCTATCAGGGCGGGACATGACTGGCCACAAAGTCTAATTGTTTACGCAAATTGGGTTTAAGCCGTCGAATGGATGAGGCTTCAACAAACTGAAGTAGACGATGGTGTTGCTGTCTACTTATGATCCTAATAGACTTGCTTGGGTCCACACACAAGTTGCAGTGTAATATGTGGCGATAAATAGAGCATTTAAGAACTTTTTCTCCTGTTAGCGCTAGATTCTTGGGAATGCATTCGGAAATCCTTACCTTCTCTCAGTTCGTCCAAGATACACTGGAATAGATAAATGTAAGAGGAGGTAACTTGAGGATCAGGCTTGTCCAAATTTGATTCCACGAGAAGTCGCTTAGTTTTGTACAGATCGAATAGTGAGGCTGCTTGAAATGTTATGTGGTTATTTGTTTTATGCGTTGCTGGATAGATCTGCCATTTCCGTCTCCGTTGAGTTTACCCGAAATAACTGAATTCATTTTATCCTGCTGGTTTTTCCCACATGATTATCCTCCAATTAACTATATATGAACACTTTTCATTCGGCAGTCTTCGAAATGCGGATGGGCTCGGCGCCGGGCGGAATATTGAGGTTGGTGTGCCCGATACTGTTTGTGTGTGTGTGCGTGTGTTAATGTTTTCTGCGCTTTGATGAGATGCAAACCGGCATCAAAGTCTCTGTACAATCGCAAGTTAAATGAAAACGGTCGAAAAAAGGAACAACTCTCACGAGGTAGAGTATTTGCATAGCGGGTAAACGCGATAACGCGTCACAAATCGGTTGCTAATCTGTAATGAATGCATGTGGCTTCCCTCAGGGATCTTTTAGTGCAGTAATATTGTTATCCGTTCTTATTCCTTGATCCACCCAGATCACCAAAGCAGTAGGACCTGTAATCTTGATAAATGCATTAGTGCTTCTCTGTCAATCATTGTGCTAATTCACTTTTTGTTCTGATGAAATCTTCCTCCTCCCCCTGCCCCTGGTCCTTATACACACACCGCACCGCCTGCCGCTTGCATCGGTCGTGAATCGCAGACCCCAACCCGAGTCCGTGTTTGTGGATCGGGACAACGCGTGGAAACGTGCTGGCAATCCATCTGAACTTGGCCGACATCCGCGCCGGTCAAAATCCTGTTCCAATTTCTCCCTCGGGTATGTGTTGACAGTATTCTCTCTGTGTTCGGTATTCGTCTCACCTCCCGAACATCCTGCCCACCCGGATCATCCTTCCATCTTGTCACACTTTTACTTCTGCGTAAATTAATATCTAACCCGGTATCTATCCATCTCTGTTCTGTTCCGCACGTGCTAAACAAGTGCCATTTAATTCACGTTTCATCCTTCATTCATTGTATCACGCGACCTTTTTTTTACCTTGCACTTATTTGAATAACCTCAGTTTGCAAACTATCATACGATCGTAATCTGTGAGTTATTTTGACAGAAGGATTCCTCAGCCATGACAAGTTAGACAGAATGGTCCTTTTTCGCTTGAAAATCTGTTACTTGAAAAATAGGTTCACCGATCCCGATGAGACAATTTTCCGGTTATTTATTGTTATTGTTTTGGGCTGTTTGCATCATATTATCCCTACACTACTCTCAGTTTACTCATGGAAAACCTTCCGTGTAGCAGTCACGATTGTCATCGCACATTTGCCCACTTGGTCGAACAAGGATGGAATAAAGGCAGGAAGTAAACTACTGCTGTTCGAACTAAAATGTTCTCGGATGTCTTGTCTGTTTACCGTGTTCAGCTATAGCACGTGGCGCCGCAAACCATCGATTAGGCTACCCAAGAAGCCGACCTCGTCTACTTTTCCTTTCTGCTAGAGTGAAACTGGGAGTTGGACCAACCCTGGGTGGTTGTAACCACATTTATCGTCTTATTTTATCATCCTGACCTATTGTCATCGGACTCTTTTGTGTAAACGCACACAGAATCGTTACATCCAATCCTCGTGGTTATACACAAACACTCATCTGTGTTCTGGTAGTAGGTGTTTCTTTTCAAACGTCATGCGAGTGGTATACAGTCGCATTAAATGATGATTCAGTTGATTTATTTTACCAGTTGAATGTGATATGGTTCCTTAGTCCCGTCACCTTTCCATCTCTATCAGAGAAATGGCAATAAAAGAGTACACGTGAGAAAAACATTTCACCATCTCATTTCACTTCCAAATAATGCCTAAGAAGAAATGATAACGAATAGTTGAATACCAACTGGTAATTTAGCAAGATAAAGCTGTTCTGGGCATATATCCAAAAGTTCGGTTCCCGTTTGTGTCTCATGAATAAGTTCACCTTTTTCTTGCAGTTTCCATCCAGTAATAGAATCCATTTTCGCTTCGAAAATGCGGTATTTTGTTCGGGTGTCGTGCAATAGCGCGTGAAATCGTTATTAGTTGACCGATTCCATTCTCATCGATCGGTTTTGGTTTTGATTCGTCTTTAAGATGAGTGGTGGCCTTTAAAGCTGATTATAGTGCACTGTCCCCGATCAAAAGGGGTCGTGTGAATTGTACTCAGCCGAAACGCCAAGAATCTCGTGTGGCCTTTTTGATCGGATCAATTTTCTCGTTCGATTAGCGATATGCATCAATCCATTCTATCAATCGGTGTGATTGATTTAACCGTCGTTTTTACAGTCGATTGAGATGTGTGTACGCTTTTGCCGTGGTCAGTTCCGAACAGTGATTAAACAAGTCTGATTGCCTGCGCTTTACTCCTTGTGGTCAGTGTTAGGTAAACTCAGACACCAATTGCCTCTTGGAGTTCGGTGGAAAAAATTGCCAGGACTTTGATTTCATGCGTAGAATGCACTCAGTGAATTCTCTCGAAATATTCCGCTCTGCATCTTATCTTCGGCATAAACCCGATCAAATCAGATAGAAAATGAAAATAGGCCCTCATTGCTTAAGGTATTCGTTTTTTGTACTTCTTTCTTTTCTATCGACAGGGGGAGATGATAGCTAATGAACAACAGGTCACTGTTCACACTCTCCCTGTCCTATTTGAGTTGCTGGGCTGTCTTTTCTGATTGGAATTTTCGATTTTTGATTGTTTTCTCTCCTCCGTTCAGCTCATTTTCGACTGGCGATCCCAATCGTTCCGAACGATCTCTACTTCATTGTTTTTTAGCACTTTGCGAGAGCTGGACCAAAGCGAGATTCAACGAATACGGATGAATCGCTCACTAGTCAGATTGACAATAATGGTTTGATTTTTTCGGACGTCTTGCTTATTGCACTGGACTTCAGTAGGCCACCGGACGATTGTCTGTTTCAATCAATGTCATTTTTCAAGATACATTAAGGCAGAGCTTTTCCTTGCCAATCAAACCCTACAATTGTTCATTTTATCCAGCCACTTTTTCCATTCGCATTTATCTTATGGAAGTTCAGACTTCCGTCCTCATTTGGCCCCCAAAGAAGTGTGATGTCTTAGTTGCACACCGAGGCGCTTCTTTCGATCTAGATTGCGATACAAATAAATTTTCTGTGTCCACAGCGCCCAGTGAATTATTGAAAGACTTACAAGACACTATGGATTGAGCACGACAGTACGGTTTCAGTATCAGTAGTATTGAACCTGAGGAATACAACCTAATTCAATCCAACTCAAAAACCCTAAAAACGTTTATCCGTACGTCAGATGCTAATCGAACACTTTTAGTTTAGATTTAATGGTTTATACACAAATGTCTCTTCACTTTTGTTGTTTTCATGACCTCGTTTGTATTGTTCCATGATCACAGGCTCCATATTTCGTGTCCACGGTGAGATAGTTCACATTGGTTTCCTGAATCTGGCCGGTGAACCGTGTCCGATACCGTCGAACCGATGGGACGAATCTCTGTTTGCTGCCAAAGCTCCCGGTTTGTTGGTCAAACAAACTTCAGTTACCTCATCTGCGGTGTCTCCCACAGCTGAAGGCGGTCTACGCCAGGGTGATAGCTCAGCTGCAGCACGGCGACTGGGCACCGGACATCAGTCGGGCAAAGAACGAAGAACTGGGCCAGGTGCCACACGCAATTCCTCATCCTCAACCTCTTCATCCTCTGGGCCTTCGGGTGAGTGCTTCTGCGGCTGTGGTTCATCATCATCCAGGTTGCTTTGAGTGAATAGTGTGTGCACAGTCAGCTGCCCTAGCGGACACTAATAAAATTCACTTTGGGCTATTTTTTTCTCCCGCTGAAACCAACAATCTGTGTCCAAAAATTATCATACACTAATAACAGACCTTTCCCTTTTGATTAACAATGTGATTCATTTGCAAATCTGTTTTCCTCCACTCGACTGTTCTTCCCGCTCTGTGAACCTACCCGGACTCAGGCCCCAATACTTCGGGTGGCATGCATCCCGGCATGATGTCTGGTCAGTCGAGTCTATCCGGAGCAATGGATTCTCCTTCGGCCGGAGCAGCTGGTCTCACTGAGGCGGATAAACAACTACTGGTCGTATGTTCTGAAAAACAGGCCCGAGTAATCGCTTTGCCTTCGCAAACTTGTTTGTACAAGGTATGTGTGCTTGTTCCTTCTTATTCTTATTCTCTTCACACAACGGTTAGCTGCTGTACGCGAAAACATCTGGAATTTATGATCTGCCCACTGGTGTTCATTCCTGCCCGATTTCAGGTGAAGATAACCGAGACGAGTACAGTCGTTCGTGCCGCAGTCCAACGTCTTCGCGGATCCGGCTCAGTTGGGAATTCAGACAACCCGGGCACAAGCGCTTTCTTGGCCTGTTATCTGGCCAACGGTCATTTTGTCGCCCTGTCCCTGCCTAGTCTGCGACTACTGATGGATGTGGACTATTTACCCTGGACCGAATGTGTCTCGCGCTCATTCGCATTCGGTCAGCATGGGCAGGCAGTGTATTTGACGTCACCGTCAGAGCTTGTTAAAATTACTTGGTCAGCCGATGTTTGGTGAGTTGATGTTCGAGACCGTGACTGACTGATTCTGTCTTGGCCACTGATTGGAATCGAACAACATGGGACTGTAAAACTGGGAGTGAGAGAGAAAAAAATAATAAATACTTCATTCACTGAGCATTGGTTATCATGGTGGTGATGTGATCATTTTCCCACGTTCAGCTCGTTTTATTTTGTAACATCTGGTAGCCTCACTCGAGGCCGGAAGTTGTTTCATAGGCATGAAGTAAGCAGTTTGTTGAAGGAATGGTGATAGCCCACGATGGAATAGCGTTGCTAACCGTTGATTTTGTTTGACTATCCTCCATGCACAATCCTCAATTCATCCAGGCAAGTGTATACTCGGAAACCCAAAGTTCCACTGGTCTGTCCGGGATTCGAACCTCGGACCCTTCGTTTAGAAGGAATGATCAGTTATCAAATTCACCAGATTAATCGAGTTAAATTTCTTCTTTTCATCTTCATGAATAGTCGACAATTTCGGAGGAGAATACAGCGTCTCTCCGATCGAAATCCTGGAATTGCATTTGACGGAAGACCCGATTTAGACGGGTGTTCTCGATTGGAATTAACTGATTATAACTGAAAATGATGTTTGAACAAAGTAAATCGGTGATTCTGGTCAATATACCGGTAATGCGTTATAAATTCCATGCAAGAGGTTCAGAGTTCAAAAACCGTACCGATCACTGAATGTGCACCCCTTGAATTGGATCAAAACTTGACTTCAGTCGGTTGGATGAACTAAGAATCGTGCGTGGATA